TAATTAGCCGAGTCTTGTATCTTTATATAAGCCACTGTAGGCTTAGGGTTTTGTATGTATGAAATACACATTGTGTAGCCATCATGCTCTCTCTCTCTCTTTCTCTCTCTCCCTCCCTCTCTCTCTCTCATTAGTTTGAACAGTATTTGATGGTTGAAGCATGAAAGAGGACTTGGGAAGTGCACAATGGGGTGGCTGGAGAGTGACAAACAGGTCTGGCTCCACACCTCTACCTTATGGCTACTAAAACAGTTGCCTAAGGCCTGACATGTAAAAAAGTAGGCCCTAATGGATTTTTTGATGTAGCACAGTTATAAGTGGTTTCATCTACAAATTCTCGTGTGCATATATAACATTTATGTACAAACTCTGTTTGAGGTTGAAGGACAAAATCAAGGAGAGGATGATGAAGAAAATTGAAGGAAACAAATGAGGAGAAAGTAATGAATAATAATTATACGAGTGCTTTTTTATTTTTATTTTTTACAAGTAATAAATATATGAGTGTTATATATAAAAAATGCCTCATTTATATATGGAAGAATCCATCAAGAGGGCTCTCTCATGTGAGCTCGTGCCCCTAAGCTATCGGATCGTGAGCTCTCACCTGGCGTGCTTTTGATCCAACAGTTGAGGACACAGTCTCACAGTGAGAGCTCCTTCCCTTCCTGACGGGCTTACACTTCAGAGGATGGCCTTAGCATGTCGAGCTGCTCCACAATGGCCTATCACCATTATCTTCATCATGTGCAATAATCCAAAAAATGGTTTTAAAACAAAACCGAGGCAGCAGCAGATTGATCAATGACCTATCACCATCATCTTTGTATCATGTGCAATAATCCAAGAATGGTTTTTGTGGGGCTCTCTTTGGCTACTGGAAGGAAATAATCCAGTCAGGTGCCATATGTTGAATAGAAAAACTTGGCGGTGGTCAAGTTTATGCGTTAAATTGGACTTGTTACTTTTATACATTTTTGGCAAGAAACTTATTTAATATTTTAAAGGAAGAATCTCACTGTAACGACGGGCAATTGGACTTGTTACAGGAGGTTCATCGTTCATTGGTGAACTGAATCTTGTATTACATGCTTGGAAGGTCAATTTCTGTTGATGAGATCTTTGCACTGGTGTTAAGCAATATATATTTTTTCTTTCTTTATTAATTTTTTTTAAAAAGAGAGAAATTTGGGTGTCTCCAACTCATTTTGAGTCAAAACTAATCTTTTCTGGTTGCATGCAATATCCCATCAATAACATGCACTGGGTGAGCAAAGGAGAGTTGAACCCAAGTAAGATATTTGGTTCCCAAGCTTGGAGTTAATGTTTTTGTTCCTTGTGGATTTTATGTTTATTTATTTCATAAAGCCCTATAATAGGTAAGACAGGACCAGAGTAGAATATACTATTATAACTAAAATCTTAAAAAGCTTTGTTCTCTTCTTTGTGTGTATGTGAACTGTATCAGTAGGCTTTGAGCTTGTTCATCTTAAGATCTTTTGGTATTGTCTATCTCATTTTCCTTCCTTATTTTTCTTCTTACCTGATTTTGCTGTAAGACCGTCTACTTATCAATTCGATAATATCTGTGATTTATTTCTTGATCTCCTTTCTTATTTTTTGATGCTATGCTTAAGTTACCCTGTAAAGCTGTAACAAGATCTCACTGATTTTTGAGATTTGGGAACACATCTATAATTTTTCCGGGAGTTCACCTTTTGGGTTATTGGCTTGTTATGGTTTTATACCAGGCTTATGGGGTTGCTTAGATTGACAAATGTAAATATTGGGAATGTTCAACCACCATCTTCAGAAAGAAAAGAGTAGAGGATGCTTCACTGGTTTTGCCAGATTAAAAAACTATCTATATATACTTTAACCAGAAGCAGTAGAAAAACTCAACAGTTCATAAGGAGAAAATGAAATTATTGTATGGATATTAAGGAAGTTGGGTTCACATCTTGTTGTAATTGGAGCTTTACCCAAATTCATGGTCTTAATGAGTTCTGAAATTGGTGCCCTTACTTGACCCCCCATACAAATAGGCCTAGTTGGTAAATCCCCTTACTAGACCCTCCATAAAGTACGTACAAATTTTTTTTTTTTTTTTAGAATATGTCCGTCTACCATGATTTTAGTATGCTGTATAAATAGAATTTGTGAATCTCTGTAGCTTTTCTAAGAATGCCTTGAGATTTGAGTAAAATATATATTATATTTTTGAAAGGTAAATGAAAGCAGTTGAACAACATTGTACACCAATCTCTCTTTTCCAATTGCATTAGGATTGTTATATAATATTTGTAATAATTGAAAAGAAGTTGTGAATTCAAAGCATAGTAACGTTGTTATTTAAGTGCACAGTGATTTTTTCTTTTCTTTTACTGTTAATATCAAAAATAACATTTGAAAAGAAAAATAAAGCATATATTGTTAGGAATTGTCTCATATTCCTATTTTAATTGGTTTCTATTTTAGAGTTATTTTATTATGGTAATTTCTTGTAAGGTAAGTCTTGGCCTCTAAGGAATCTTTTGTAAGGCAAGTCTTCGCCACTAAGAAATTGTAATCCTTGTCCACCAAGGAATTGGGTATGGGACTCTAAATAGATCCATAGGGTATTGTTGAAATGTATGAGTGGAGAGACATATAGCCCGCAAGGGCAGCCTCATGAGGGAGTTGTAAGTAAATTGGATGGGAAGAGAGAGTTAGGTTTGGTAGAGCGAACACTGAAGACGAGAGGGTGTCTCGTAATACACGGTATATGGCTTGGGTACCTTGACGTCTGCCTTGGCTGCCGGATTACACGGGGAAAGCTCTAGGTGAAAGTGAATGTACAAGTTCTTCTGGCGTTGGTAAATTCTCTATAAATTGTAACTGTCTTCTTATCATCATAGTCGAATCTCCTCATCCGTAGATGCAGCCTAGAGTTTGGGTCAAACACGTATATCTCGTGTTGTGCATGTGAGTAAATTGCTTTATTGCTTTGGTGGGATCTTCCATGGTGTTCTTAGAGTGGACATTGAAGACGAGAGGATATCTCGTAGTACACGGTGTAAGACTCGGGTATCTCGACCTCTGCCCTAGCAGCCAAATTACACAAGGAAAGCTCTAGGTGAGAGTGAATGTACAAGTTGTTCTGGTTTTGGTAATTCTCAACAAATTGTAACATTTCCTCATCATTATAATTGAATCTCTTGATCTGTTGACGTTTGGGTGAACTACATATATCTTGTGTTGTGCATGTGCGTAATTGCTTTATTGCTTTGGTGGGATTTTCCATGGTGTTCTTGTTGACATGGCTGTGTATTCTGAAAAGTTTGATATGTCGCACTATTACCGACTGGTTCGACTTTTTGGCAAATTATGTTTTGCAGAGTGCGACCGGTCGCATTTTAGATGGACCAGTCGCAGTTGGCTAATTCGTGTTATTGTGCTTTGTTCGCACTTCTTCCGCTGCACAACGTTTTTGGTCCTGAATTTTTAACATAAAAACGAACCAGATGCAAATGTAACTGAATTCCTATTTTTCCATTTCCTTTTTTATGCCAAAATTTTTAATATCTGGAGCAACTATAAGAATAAGATAGTGGAAGGAATTTGATTGACACCTGCTGCCCCATTCATTGTGTAAAAAGCTGAAGTCGGTATAGATGGAGAGGAAGCCTTGTCGCCCACTAGTCTTTTACCGATTACCACTAGTCTTTTACCGATTTCCTTTCTGTTCTACATTATGTATTTTTCAATTAAATGTCAAATCATAACTGTATGTAGCTGAACCCACTAATTAGCAGACATGGATGTGAGGCGACTCGGATGTCGGCACGTCAAATCCTAAAAAAGTAGGACATGGACACGTGGTGGACACAGCTACATGAAAATACAAAGTTTTATATATGTATGACAGTTTTACAAATTTATTTAACTTTTAAATTCCATACTAAGGCTTACATTATTTAGAAGATGAAGCTGGACAAATATCGTACAGATAATTTTATTATATATGCTTCTACTCTATTACTTCTTCTTTACAATTATAGTTTTGTCTTTATATGAATAAATGTCATTGTATGCTCGAATTGTGGTAATCAAGTGTATAACGTCTATTTTCCTTCAAGCAAAAAAGGTTGGACACTTTGAAATGTGTTCGTATTCTTTCGAAGATTATTGGATGTGACACCTTAGATTTGTTTATGCGACTCTTAGATGTGTTTGTGTTATATAAGATGTGTTGGGAAAGTGTCAGAGTCTGAGATAAGTCGGGATGTGTCATTTAGGTGTCTAGGTAATGAAACTTGTTTCTAAATTATGGACATGTCCATGAAGCATACAAATTTTAAGAGTGTTTATAAATTGTAGGATGTGGACACGGTGTGGAAGCAGCTATATGAAAATACAAAGTTTTATCTATGTATGACAGTATTGGAAATCTATTTACTTTTAAATTTCATACTAAGAGTTGCATTTTTTAGAAGATGCTTGACAAATATCATAAAGATAATTATATTATATATGCTGCTACTATTCTACTTTCTCTTTACGAATTTTTCTTATATAAATGTCATTGTATGCTTGACTTGTGGTAATCATGTGTATAACGTCTATTTTCCTTCAAGAAAACACTTTGAAATGTGTTCGTACTTTTTCCAAGATTATCGGATGTGACCTTCTTAGATGTGTTCATGTTATACAAGACTTGCATTGGGGATGTGTCGTTTTGAAGTGTTGAGAGAATGAAATTTATTTCTAAATTATGGACATGTCCATGTAGTATAATCGTTCACGTATTGAAGAGTGTTCATAAATTGTCTGTCTCCGACACGAAGAGTTGTTATGTTGAATAATATTTGGCAAGCCTTGTTTAGGTTGATCTTTCTTCTTGTATCCATGACTGATGTAGCTTGGTCTGAACTATGTAAACCTCTACCTAATTAAAGCTTACATTTTATTTATGTCAAATGATATTGGGTGTCTCACATGGTTTGTGTTGTTGCGTACAGGGAGAGACAATATTGCGTGGACGAAATGGATTCTGGGATTGATTTGCTCCATTGATTGAAGCTTGCTGAAAGGATGTGATCCATCTGGGTTTAGGCTAAATGAGTTGTAGAAGAAGTTTTCCACTTTTGTACAGACAAATTATCTACTGATTTTTCTTGTAGGATTGTAGTCCAGGTTGGTTTTGTAAAGTGATGTATTTTCTTGATTAACAGAATAGTGTCATGTAATGTTTTGTTTTGGCTGATGCATTTGAGACTCATTTCAAGTTGGAACGCCTGCCGAGCATGCTTCTTGGTACAAAAAATTTCCTTTGTTTGGGAGAGTGCTGAATCGGTGCCTTGGAATTAGAGTCTAAAGAAATTAAATTTGAACTTTATTTTTTTTTTTATTATTATTTTTTTTGTCAATTCCAATTCTAAGGTGCGGATTGGGAGCTATGAGAAATATTGAAACCAAAATAAGAAAAGGCCATATCTATACAAGAACCATTTGACAATAAAATTATATATCTATGGTTGTACTCTTTGGACATTGTTGCCCTTTTAACCAATGTCGATGGCAGAGCTAAAAGACATACAAAAACAAAGTATAGAATTTGATACTTAATTCAATTTATGCAAGTGTGGTGGTGGTTCTCAGTATATGATGTCATTATGGCGTCATGTGATAAGACCAACCAGCCTTTGCCTAAATTGAATTACAAAAGCCTAAATTGAATTCCCAAAAAAGGTGGAAGGTAGGGTAACCTGGCCCAAGAAGGATTTGGGTTCAGGCTGGTGTGGTTGATTTCCTATTATTTTTTTGGGTCAGGTTGGACTGGGCCTAGATTAAAATCAAAGCTCGAGTCCAGTCCTAAGCCCATGGTACTCTCAGGCCTAGTACAGGGTCCTCTGCTTAAGTTTGACCCAAAGGGGTTGTCTTCGGGCTTTTAAATTTTCTCTTTTTGAATTTAATAGATTCAAACTTATAAATGTTAAAAACTTAAAAAATACTAAAAATTAATGTTTTATGCAATACTTGTTATGAAAAATCAAGGACCATGTAGTTTAATGGTATTTCTTCATTTCATTTTCCAAAGTGAAAGGCGGAGGGTTCAGACCCCCCACATCCACAGGAGTATGTAAATGTGTTTCTTCATTCTTGACAAGGTGAAAAAAAAAAAAAGAAAAAGAAAAAAAGAGAAAAGAAGAAGAAGAAGAAAATCACTTGTCACTAAACACAAATTTATGAGACTCAAAAAAACATGTCTCAAATATCATATAAGGGGAAATTTAGTGCAAGTGGCCTTTTTGAGAATATCGACTCTCATAATGCATACTTATTAACCTTTTATATTATTGTAAAAAAAAAAAAAAAAAAAAAAAATTTCCTAATTGACTCACACATCCCTAGTGAATTATTTGTTCATAAGAAGAGTCGAATTTTAGATTTAATACTTTAGGAGGCATCAGAGCCAAGTGACTTACTACTTGAGCCAACACTTTCTAGTTAAAAAAAAAAAAATTCTTTATCAACCATAACATGCATTTATATATTATATATATATTTGCAACTACAGAGATTATACCATTTTTTTTATTTTATAATTATTTGGATAAGCACATGCAATGTCTAACAACACCAAGTGTGTGCACGGCACACGCTATTAATTAAAGATTATGTATTAGACTTGTAATATTTATTTTTTATTTATACATAAAACACATTCTTAGACAAAGATTCCATTGGGGGTTATCTATTAATCAAGTCTTCACATGACTATTTAATCTAAATCATTGTGTACCATGGGCTGTTTTTCTGAAGCTCTATACTTTGTTTCGACAAATCAGGAAAAACCAATGCTTGCCATTTTGGAGACCCTCTCTCTCCCTCTACTGTCCATCACTTTCTCTCTCTATGCATACATACATACATACATATATATACACACACACACATACACACGGATAGATGTCATACAGTCATTACATACAACAGAATCCATCTATAACAAACAAGGGTTTCTTAAGATACTAATATCCAACATTCAAAAGCATGAGACAGGATATCTCAAGAAAGGGAATAGAAAATTCGGGCAGCTTTTCCCACCTTTGCCCGCTGCCCAAACTGGATTTGGGAAACAGGATCAGAATTTAAAATGAATAATATAATATAAGCCTTATATGTGTCCTAAATCAATACTGTTGTCTCGTAATTCAGTAAATTAGTGTCTCTCTCAAATTTTAGAGTCCTAGACTTCCGCCAGTATCCTCAATTGATAAGATATACTAATTGTAGAGAAAATGGAGTTTTCACAATAATTGCAAATTCTTAAAATATCATTTGAGATTACAAATTCTTCTTTTACCCAACATCAATATTTTGGTTGAATCATGAGAAAAAGTAATTAAAAAAGTATTTCTTTTGATATGTAAAAGGAACTAAACCTTTTACAATTGTCAAGTTGAATTATTTTAATAACCTGCATTTTCAACAAGGTTGAATCTGTTTAGACCACGATAATGACAAGTACATGAATATACTCCTACTATAAGTTTTTTTTTTTTTCCCTGACGAAAGTAGTGTAACTAGTGTTAAGTCCTTTAGAGCACCTCATGATTCACCATCAAAGATATAGACTAAGCAATACTAATAAACTTTTTGGGAGATAGTTCAAGATGCTTTGAACTCCGAACGTAACTTCAAGATATGAGTTGAGAATTTTATCTTGTGGTTATTCCTTTGTATATGCGACTGACAAAGAATATTGGAAGGGCCAGAGACCATTCCTTATAAAGAACTTGGCAAAATAGCTTTGTAACTTCGAGAGATTAGTGTCCCCTGCAAATGGATTGTGGTGATGAAGTTTGATGGACAGAAAACATAGCGGTGATCAAGTCTGAGTGATAGACAACATAGCCCATCAGATGACACATGACTAACCCATCAACGGACACATGACTAATCCATTCATATAGGATAAAGACAAGAATAATGATAATAGATAAATAGATATACCCTGGTCATTAAGTTAATAGAAAATGATGATTTCTCCTTGATTGAGGGGTTTTAGACTTTTAAAAGAGAGAAAAGAAAGGAAATGGTTCTTCTCCATCAAGGCTTGTAAAGAGGAAAAAACAAAAATAAAAGAAAGGAATGTATATTTTGATCTTACAAAATGATAAAACTAGAAAATAAACTGTTATAAAAATCAAAACTAAATTAAATTGGGCAATAATCCCTATCATTTTGAGAGAGAAGAAAAGGGGGTTTTGACAATATGATCACCATCACCCCATTTCTTTTCTCTTCCCTCCTGTGAAAAACACTAATCAAGGGAAAGTGGATTATCCTTGCCTATTTCCTTTTGGACATACTCCAATCACCTGCCCATTATTTTATTTTATCAAATAAATTAAGCTCACGCAATACATGTGATTTGAGAATTTCTATTTAAAAATAAGTTGGAGACACCATGACATAAACAAAAAAAAAACAGAGGAGGGAACTTTTACAAGACAAAAATAAAACTAGTGATTTATGGTGCCTCCATTTATTGTCGGGCAGCATAGCAATAGGTCCAATATTACTGCCTCATAAACAAAGGGTTGAAGGCCTTGGGAATTGATCACTTTAGCCTTATTTTCGTCCTTCCGTACACACAATCAGGGCACACCTAAAAGAAGAGTGACTTAATGTAGTGAAACCATGGACTTTGCGATTGTCTTTCTTTAGGATGCTTGATTGTATGACTCGAGACAAAAATAAAAATAAAGAAAATGCAAAAACCCTTGTTGAAGTCAATTTTTTATCTTACAAATGACCACATTTTTCGATTCTAAGCTTCTCCATCAAAGAAAATTTATATGGAATATTTTGTTAGTTCATACTTTAATTGGCCTTGGTAACTGATAAGGAAAATTGAGATGGTCACTCAAGAGACTGACCAGATAAGGAAGTTTAATTACATTTGACCAGTTTGAAATCAAATGCGGTTACAACTAGTTGATAATAGGGGATCAAATCCGAAATACGTAGAAATGTCTTAATATCATCAACAAATGGCAAAAATTTTACCGGGTACCGCTATAAGTACAAACTTTCACCAACTGAATAGGAATGACAAAAACGACATATTAAGTAATCTGCACACCAACTCAATAAAACAACATGTGAATCTTAATCAAGAAAGATAAACAACATATATGAATATATCAATGTGTATGTCTCCCCCTAAATTCTAGAAACTCCCCCCCCCCCCCCCCCCCCCCCCCGGCCGGCGGTTACAAATTGACAAATAAAGCTCAACAAAGAAGGAAAATAAATAATATAGGAGAATTAACAAGAAGAGAGATCAAAACTATAATCCAAGCATAAGATATATCAATAAGCACAATAACATGATAACATATGTTCCATCCACAAGATAAATAAGACCAATCATGCTCAAAATCACACATGATATCTCCTCCTTAAACATGAAGTACCTCTTCTCCCCCTTTTTGTAAGAATTTAATAAACCATGCATAAAAAGAAGAAAAGAATAAATTGAGAGAGAATATCACTATCCAGTTAAAAATGAAAATTCCTAATAAAAACTAAAAGGAAAATCCTTTTGGATTTTTCAATTTATATATATATATATATATATATATTTTTTTTTTTTCGATATTTGAACAAAAATTATGAGATAGTAATTTCCATGAATTTCAAGTATACATGAGATTCAAAAACTTTTGAAGAATTTAAAAAAGAAATGAAATTTTTGGACACCACAAATTATTGAATCAAATCAATCCTCAAGCATGAAATTCAACTTGCAATTTTTATAAAGATTTAGAAATTTGTCTAGCAAGTTCATATGTTCATCAAATTTCAATCAAATCACATTGATTAACTGTCTAAACCATATTGATAAAAAAATATCAAGATAAAATTGTTTTGAACAAATTTTACTAAACAAGTCGGCTTTCACTCTAAAGAGTAGACAATAATTCCCTATTTCGACTTGTCTCCTCCTTTCTTTTTACTCAATTAGCTCATCTTCAAATTCTAGTAGGAGCTTTCGATCTAATCTCAATAAGTAACCTTTTCTTTAGCAAAGATTTTCAGCATATATATATATATATATATATATATTTTAACAATAATCTTTATAGCTTTTATAAGCAATATGGCCTATTCAACTTCACAATGATTTTCAATTAAATTTTCTCAGATTGGACTAGTGCACATGAAAAAATATGAACTCAGGAGACTCATATTTAAAAAGAAATAAATAAAGCATATTATCTTTCAACATATAGATTACACATCAAGAACTTTTTTCATCAAATAATGATGTGACCCCAATTTGTATTCAAAATGAATGAATTCAAGAGAAATAATTATATATCACTC